CGAGCACAAATACATTTGCAGCGCCGCAGCCGACTGTCTCTCGCGAGCCAGTTCTTTATAGTTCGATCAAGGCATGGCCCAACACACTCCCATCACCTTCTCGTTCCGAGAAGGCGCTCCCGTGATCCGCCGAGCACACACACATTTGCAATCCCGCAGCCAACTGTCTCTCGCGAGCTAGTTCTATGTTAGCTCGTTAAAGCATGGCCTAACAAACTCCCATCACCTTCTCGTTCCGAGAAGGCGCTTCCCTTGATCTCCCGAGCAAAAAATACTCTGCAGGCCCGCGGCCAATTGTTAGTTTGTCCTTTATTAGCTCGTTAAACGCATGGCCTAACAAACTCCCATCACCTTTTCGTTCCGAGAAGGTGCTTCCAGTGATCCGCCGAGCGAAACGTCCCATGCAATTGTTTGGTCAAGATCCCTCGCGAGTTTGTTCTTTATTTGTTCTTAGAAAGCATGGCCCAACACACTCCCATCACCTTCTCGTTCCGAGAAGGCGCGTCCCCTAATCCGCCGACGGGAAGGTCCTGTGCAATTTGCTGGTCACAGTCCCTCGCGATTTTGTTCTTTATTTGTTCTTAGAAAGCTTGGCCTACCAAACTCCCATCACCTTCTCCTTCCGAGAAGGCGCTTCCCGGAATCCCGTGCGATTGGTTGGTCAAAGTCCCTCGCGCTTTAGTGCTTCATTTGTTATTAGAAAGCTTGGCCTAACAAACTCCCATCACCTTCTCGTTGCGAGAAGGCGCTTCCCGTAATCCGCGAAGCAACATGCCTTTTGCGATCGCGAACCAAATGTCCCTCGCGAGGTCGTTCTCGATGTATTCCTGATTCTGAATAAACTAACAAACTCCCATAAAAAAAAAAAAAAAAAAAACCCCCCCAAAAAAAAAAAACTCCCATTGCCTTCTTGTTCCGACAAAGCGCTTCCCGTCAAACCTTTGGCGATCGCGAGCCAGCTGTCCTTCGCGAGGTTGTTTTGCATGCATTCCTTATCCAACATCGCCTAACAAACTACCATCGCCCTCTCGTTCCGGGAAGCGGCGCCCCGCCATCCTCAGGAATATTTGAGGGATCCATCAGGCACTTTCAGGCATCCCCCAGTCTCCGGAACCTCGAGGAGTCCTTAGAAATTCCGGAGGGATCCAACGAGCCCCAAAAGGGGCCCCCTGCCCCCCTTGGGGGGGGTGGTGGTTGGCGAGCGGGGGGCCTGGGGTCCAGGTCGAGTGCCCACCACCACCACCACTAACAACAATACGTATTCTTCAATAGTTACTGATAACAAGAGCAACAACAACACCATCAACAACAAGTTTAAGACTGTTCGCTCCTATCTGCTCACGTGCGAACCAATACGCCGATCCCAATCCCTCGGTACCCGCCCTCGTCGTCTTCGATCGTACCCTCTTGGGGGTACATGTTCCTTACCTGCCACGTGCAGTTAAAGCAGCCCCTAAAACAAGAGAAGAGAGGACGGATGGAAAGGGGAGGAGAAAATGGAACACGAGAAAAGTTAGCAGGAAGGGGGCACAGAGTAGAAAACAAGTCGTAGAACCAGACGGGCAGATCGGGTGGGCAGACCCATAGCGTGCATGTCGGGAAAGAGGGCCCAGGCGACCAGGTCGAGCAGGCGCGTTGCTGAAGGGTGGGTCCTGCATGAGTCACGAGGATGTTTCGAACGATAGCGCGATTCCTAAGCAAATCGCGAGAGAAAAGCTAAAGCGAGAGCACGATTCCTGAGCGCCGAGGGCTCATTTTCTGAATAAATTGCGACGAAGTCCCACGCGAGAGCGCGATGCGTACATGATCTGTGCGGAAGTCCAGCGCGAGAGCGCGAATTGGGAATACATTGTGAGGTGGACTCAGGCGGAAGCCGCTGTTGTTGTAAACCGGGGGGCCAGGGGCCCAGTTTGAGCCCCGTGACTTGCCTTGCCTTGTGACTTGCCTGGGAAGCATTTCAATTGAAAGTGCTCAAAGGTCACCGGAGGGGGGGATCAACAATACGTATTCTTCAGTATCCAGAATTCAACGACAATCATATGAAGCTGTTCGCTCTTGTCGATTCGAGAGTGATTCAACGCGTATTTCCAAAACCATCGATACTGGCCCTCTTCGTCTTCGATCGCATCCCTTTTGGGGGAATGTTTTTTTGCCCCTGCAGGCCTAGCCAAAGCAAGCGGCGGGGCGGCCGCGGACCGTCGACCTGGCCAGCGGCAGCGCTGATCGGCGGCAGCCCGATCCCAAGAGGGACGGACAGGGGACCGGCCATGACGACGACTACGACGACGACGACGGCGACGACGACGGCGACGGCGGCGACGACGACGACGAGCGAAAGCGAGAGCGAGAGCGACAGCGGGGCCATGAAGGGCAGGAAGGGGGCCACGAAGGGCGACAGCGGGGCCACGCAGGGCATACGTATGGGACCACGAAGGGCGCGAACAAGCGGGGGCCACGAACTGCAGATAATGCGAGGCCACGAAGGGCAGGAAGGGGGCAACTGAGGGTAGCAACTGGGCCACGTAGGACAGCGAGGGGGCCACAAGGGGCGACAGCGGAGCCACGAAGTGCATGCATATCGGGTCACGACGGGCGCGAACGAGCGGGGGCCACGGAGGGCATACGTATTTGGGGCCGCAGAGAGGGCAAGGACGGGGCCACCGAGGGCAGCAACGGTGTCACGAAGGGCAGCGAGGTGGCTACGAAGGGCGACAGCGGGGCCACGAAACGAATGCATATGGGGCCACGACGGGCGCGACCGAGCGGGGGCCACGAAGGGCACAATGATATGGGGCCACGGCGAGCAGCGAGGGGGCCACAAAGGGCTGCAGCGGGGCCACGATGGGCAGCGAGGGGGCCACGAAGGGCTGCAACGGGGCCATGAAGGCCAGCGAGGAGGCCACAAAGGGCTGCAACGGTGCCACGAAGGGCAGCGAGGGGGCCACAAAGGGCTGCAACGGGACCAAGAAGGGCAGCGAGGGGGCCATGAAGGGCTGCAACGGCGCCAAAAAGGGCAGCGAGGGGGCTACGAAGAGCTGCAACGGGTCCAAAAAGGGCAGCGAGGGGCCACGAAGGGCGACAGCGGGGCCACTAAGTGCAGCGAGGGGGCCACGCAGGGCTGCAACGGGTTCACGAAGGGCACCGAGGGGGCTACGAATGGCGAGAACGGGGCCACGAAGGACAGCGGGATCCCGATTCCTAAATAAGCTGTGAGGAAGTCCGAAGCGTGAGCGCGAAGCCTGGGTGCCTGAGTGTCGGGAGCGCAGCGCTTGAGTAGAGAGCGGGGGATTCCAACGCAAAAGCGCGAATCTTTAGTAAATTGCAAGCAAGTCTCCAGCGAGAGCGCGGCTCCAGAGCGCCGAGAAAGCGATTCCTGAATAAATCCTACCGAAGTCCCAAGAGAGAGCGCGATCCCTGAGTAAACTGCGAGGAAGTCTCAGGTGGGAGCCGGGGTCCTGGCTAAGTTGTAAGGAAGCCTCACGCGAAAACCGTTGTTGTTGTCATCCGGGGGGCAACAGCGCAGTTTGAGCCCAGTGACTTCCCTCAATTGTTTTAGAAATATGTGTTGTGCAAAACAGTGACTTCCCTCAATTGTTTTAGAAATATGTGTTGTGCAAAACAACAACACGTAAAAAACAGGGGGCGAGCCCCGGGGGGAGCACTTCAAGTGAAAAGCACAGACAGGTCACTGGGGGGGTCAACAATACGTATTCTTCAACAGTTAATGATTACAACAGCAGCAACAACACCATCAACAACAAGTTTAAGACTGTTCGCTCCTATCTGCTCACGTGCCAATCAATCAATACGTAGATCCTAAGCCCTCGGTGCCCGCCCTCGTCGTCTTCGATCTTACCCTCTTGGGCGTATATCTTCCTTACCTGCCACGTGCATTTAGGCAGTCCCTAAAACAAAAGAAGAGAAGACGGATGGACATGGGAGGGGGAAGAATGGAGCACGAGGGAAATTAGCAGGAAGGGAGCAAAGAGTAGAAAACAAGTGGTAGAACCAGACGGGCAGATCGGGTGGGCAGACCCATAGCGGGCAGGTCGGGAAGGCGGGCCCAGGCAACCAGGTCAAGCGGGCCGATTGCTGAAGCATGGGTCCTGCATGAATCGAGAGGACGTCTCCAACGATAGCGCGATTCCCAAGTAAATCGCAATAGAAAAACTAAAGCGAGAGCGTGATTCCTGAGCGCCGAGGGCGCATCGTCTGAATGAATCGCGAGGTAGTCCCACGTGAGAGCGCGATGCGTACATGAATTGTGAGGAAGTCCCGCGCGAGAGCGCGATGTGGGAATAAATCGCGAGGAGGTATCAGGCGGGAGCCGTTGTTGTTTTAAACCGGGGGCCAGGGGCATAGTTTGAGCCCCGTGACTTTCTCTGATTAACAAAAACAGGGTGCGAGCCCGGGGGGAAGCGCTGCAAGTGGAAAAACACAATAGTCACCGGAGGAGGGGGGATCAACAACAGTTAATCATTCTTCAGCATCGAGAGTTCAACAACAACAGCAGCAGCAGTTAAAAATGGTCACCGACAGGGCGCGAGGAGGTGAGATGGGCCCAGGCTTCCTCGAGGCCCCTACGCTGGCCAGGCGGGCCAGGGCTTCCTCAAAGCGGGAGCGGCCAAGAGGAGGGTGTCCAAGAGAAGGGGGGGGTGCAACTCATGGCCGGCGGCACGTGCGCGGCCCAGTGGGGGGGGGGGGGGGCCAGGGACGTGGTGGAATCAGAAGAGGCGCCATGGAATCTGAGGAAAAACATCACGGCCCCCGCCATGAGATCCACCCCCCCTGGTCATCACCCCCTCGTTTAACCAGCCTCGAACGTATCCCTATCCCTAAGATGGGCGAGCAAAAAGCGAGGACAATCTTAGGGATAGGCCCTCAGAAACTGAGGGAATCCTTAAGATCGGTATCGAGATGCGGTGATGTCAAACATAGGGATAGGGATATGTTTCAAACTGGTAATCTTTGCCGCCTCCGATCAAAGCGGGGGCGAGGCGCCTCCTCCGACCGCATTCGCGGGTCTGCCGCGCCGCGGACGGGAGGCGCTTCCTCCCTCCAGCCGTCCTCCCCGTAGCTGCCGCGCCGCGCCTGCGGCAAGCCGCAGCGGGAGCGGCGGCGCGCCGGGCATCGGCCCAGGGCAGACCACGGACGGCGACGACGACGACGATGACGACGACGACGACGACTACGACGACGGTGACGACGACGACGACGACCGCGACGGCGCGGGAAAGATGCAGAGGCCTGAGACTGTAAGGCGAAGCCAGGACAAGGATACGTCGGGGATCTGTAAGATCTTGCGGGTTCCGGAGGAGGACGTAGCGAGATCCGCGGCAGTGTCAGAAGCGCTCCAGAAAGCTCTGAGAGAATGCCGGAACGCTCTGGAACTATCCTTAACCCTGTCCTATCCTCGCCCGATCGTTACCCTCGTCTCGGGTCGGGCGAAAGGGGGGATGGCAAAGGGGGGGGGTGAGAATCAGCTCACGTAGCTGATTCTTTCCCGGCGCCTCTCGGCGCCAGAGGCGGCTATGTATCGAGGAATGGAATCGGGGCCGAAACTGGCTGCACGCAGCAAATTTCGTAACCCCCACTTTCCCCATCCCCCCTTTCCGTATGAGGAGGAGGAACAGGAGGAGGAGGAGGAGGAGGAGGAGGAGGAGGATGGGAAGAGGAGGAGGAGGAGAGGGGAGGAGGTAGGAGGAGGACGAGGAGAGGGGGAGGGAGGAGAGGAGGGAGGAGGAGGAGGAGGCGGAGGAGGAGGAGCAGGAGCAGGAGGAGGAGCAGGAGTAGGAGGAGGAGGAGGAGGAGGAGGAGGAGGAGGACGATCGCCTCGGAGGACGACCAGTCGAGACGAAGCCAGGACCAGGACAGAACCGAACCAGGACAAATGGGGGATCTCTGACACAGTCGGGGCGTTGACCTAAGGAACCCTAAATAAGGAACGGGGCCCCTTCCTCCGATAAGTTGAGCTTCGATGTCCCATGGAAAACCTCAGGAAAACAAGAGGCAAACTGCAGAACAAGCAAGAAACACCGAGCCCCTCCCCAACGAAAAGGGTTCCTTCCTCAGGGCCCCGACTGTGTGCCGCGGCACCGGCAGGAGCCCTCCCGGTCCCCCCGGCCCCCCGCCCGCAGGGAGGGCCCGTCGAGACGGCGGCGGCCAATCCTCTTGCCGTCGCTCGGACGCCCATGTCCAATGCCTTTGTCGGTGTCGTGCGTGCTTTTCTTGGGGGGGGCTCGATGGTCCAGGATTTTAGTCCTCTTGCCGTGGCTCGGACGTCCACGTCCCGTGCCTTTGTCGGTGTCGTGCGTGTTTTTTTGTTTGGCTCGGTGGTCCAGGATTTTAGTCCTCTTGCCGTCGCTCGGACGTCCATTTCCCGTGCATTTGTCGGTGTCGTGCGTGTTTTTTTTGGGGGGGGATCGCTGGTCCAGGATTGTAGGAATGAAAACAAACGCCCCTACGCTGGGGTACACGTCCGTGGTCGGTAAACCTCCCGGGAACTCCCACCGGCCAGAGAGCCGCCAGGACGCCGCGCGGCACGCGCGATACGCAGGGTTTACCCTGTCAGCCCTCAGGAGGTTCAGCGCACAGCGCCTCATAAACCAGGGCAGGGGCGTTTTTTACGCCCTTGAAGGATGGTCCTCGATTGCCCTCGCCGAGGAAACAGTGCACACGTCCGAGCGATGCCAGGTCCTCGGCGTCCTTCGTGCATTCTTGGGGGGGAGGGCGGGGGGAGGGGCTTCTCCCGGAGGCTTCCCGTCGGCACGGTCGGGTCCGCCTCGAGGGGGGGGGGGTCAGGATAATCAGACCCCAGGAGGGGTCTGGGGAGTGCCCTCCTCCTCCTCCTCCTCCTCAACCTCGCTCTCCTCCTCCTCCCCCTCCTCCTGCTCCTCCTGCTCCTCCTCCTCCTCCTCCTCCTCCTCCTCCTCCTCCTCCTCCTCCTCCTCGCCCTCCCCCCCTCTCCTCCTCGCCCTTTCACCCCCTCTCCTCTTCCTCCTCCTCCTCCGCGTCCTCCCCTTCCTCTGCCTCCTCCTCCTCCTCGCCCTCTGGGCAACGACGGAGAACGCTGCCGTGGTAGCCGTCGTCTCGGAAGGAAATACTGCACAAACCCTAACATCGTGGGGTCGCATCTTCTATTGCACACCTGACGAGCTCGATAGCTCGAACATGCAGCAGGAAGATCATATTCAGGACTCTGGTCGATTTGTCGCTCCGATGATGTAACTTGTTCGCGACATCGGATTACAAGGAACTTCCCGGGTCTCGACGATGTGTTTTTCCAGCCTCCCTGTGTGTTGGGTTCTCGTTTGAATTCGCAGCGCCCCGCGTCACTCTCCTTTTCCTCCTCCTCGCCGCATCCCCCTTCCCCCTCCTCCCTCCTCTCAGATTCGTCTCACTCTTCCCTTCGCTTCCTCCTCATCCTCCCTTTCCCACTTCCCATCACCACCACCATCATTATCATCATTATCATCATCATCATCATCATCATCATCATCATCATCATCAGCATCATCATCACCATCACCATCACCATCACCATCACCATCACCACCAACACCACCACCACCACCATCATCAATTCATCAATTCATCAACTCATCAATTCATCAACTCATCATCATCATCATCATCATCATCATCATCATCATCATCATCATCATCATCATCATCATCATCATCAGCATCAGCATCATCATCATCATCATCATCATCATCATCATCATCAGCATCAGCATCAGCATCAGCATCATCATCATCATCATCCGAGAGAGCGTGATCCACCGCCGCTTTACTGTGGAAATTGCAAACCTTTTCCTCCGGAGCCCGGGGGTCGCCCCCCCCCCCCCCCCCCCTCCAAAATCCCCCCCCCCTCTGCTGGAACCCCTCCCCCCCCCCTCTCCCCGGCAAAACCCCCTCCCTCTCCTAACCCCTTCTCCCCCCCCCTCCCCCTTGAAAACCAAGGGGGGTCATACCGGTCTAAACCCCTCCCCCCCGCCCCCCCCCCCCTCCGGATCCGGAAAACCGGGTGGGGGTCACTACCGGTTCGAACCCCCCCCCCTCGAAAACCGGAGAGGGATCACTACCGGTTCGAACCCCCTCCCCCCCCCACGCACCGCCAGCAAACGACTCCCGGTCCCTACCACCGTCCGCATCACATCCCCCACTGTTGTTCCCAGCACCACTGTCCTCACCACCACTGTCCCCACTGGTTCCACCACCGTCCCTACTGTCCCCACCAGTGCCCCCACCACTGTCGCACTGTCCCCACTGTCCCCAGAACTGTTCCCACCACGGTTCCACTCTCCCCACTGTCTCCACGGCCCCAACCACTGCCCGACTATCCCCACTGTTCCCACTGTCCCACTGACTCCTCCGCTGTCCCACTGAGCTGTCCCACTGTTCCCACCACTGTCCCCACTGTCCCCACCACTGTCCCCACTGTACCTCTGTCCCATTGTCCCACCGCCGTCCTCGCCACCGCCTTCACCACTGTCCCCACCACCATTGTACCCTCCACTGTCCCACTGTTTCCACCTCATTCCCATTGTCCCCACACCACTGTCCCCACCACCACCGTCCCCACCACTGTCCACTGTCCCCCCTTGTTCCCACCATTGTCCCCACCACTGTCCCCACCACTACCGTCCCCACCACTGTCCCACTGTCCCACTGTCCCCACCACTGTCCCGCTATCCCCTCACCACTGTCCCCACCAACACCGTCCCCACCACTGTCCGCACCCCCACTCGGTTTTCGAGGAGGGGCGGTTTTCGAGAGTGGGGGGGGGGGGGAGGGGTTCGAACCGGTAGTGAACCCCCCCCCCCTTTTCATGATGAACTGGGGGGGGGGAGGGTTCGAACCGGTAGTGACCCCCCCTGGTTTTCCGGAGGGGGGGGGGAGGGGTTCGAACCGGTAGTGACCCCCCCCCCCCGGTTTTCCGCCAGCAGCGGTAGAACACGCTCTTTCTCTTCCTCATCATCATCATCATCATCATCATCATCATCATCATCATCATCACCATCAGCATCACCATCATCATCATCATCATCATCATCATCATCATCATCATCATCATCATCATCATCATTATCATCATCATCATCATCACCATCAGCATCAGCATCAGCATCGTCATTCATCATCAGCATTCATCATAATCATCATCATCATCATCATCATCATCATCCATCATCCATCATCCATCATCATCACCATCACCATCATCATCATCATCATCATCATCATCATCATCATCATCATCATCATCATCATCATCATCATCATGTCATCATCATCATCATCATCACCATCATCATAATCATCATCATCACCACCATCGTCATCATCATAGCTTTGGCACACAACTCACACGTTTCGAGGCCCAAGAGGGAGCTCGACCGAAGGCTCTACTGACAGGGTCCGCATGCGTACTCGAGTCCATCTGGGCACACCCCTCGCACGTTTCTTGGCCCCATAGGGAGCTCCCCCGAAGGCTCCAGTGGCAGGGTCCGCATGCGTAATCGGGTTCATTTCGGCTACCCCATAGGGGGCTCCACCGAAGGCTCCTGAGGCAGGGTCCGCATGCGTACTCCGGTCCATTTCGGCACACCCCTCACACGTTAAGTGGCCCTATAGGGAGCTCCACCGAAGGCTCCAGTGGCAGGATCCGCATGCGTACTCGGGTCCATTCGTGCGCACCCCTCAAACGTTTCGTGGCCCCATAGGGAGCTCCACGAGGACTCCAGTGGCATTGTCAGCATACGTAGTCGGGTCCACTTTGGCGAACACTTCACACGCTTCGGGGCCCCAAAGGGATCTCCAACGAAGGCTCCACTGGCAGGGTCCGCATGCGTAATCGGGTCCACTTGAGCACACCCCTCACACGTTTCGTGGCCCGATAATTAGGGAGCTCCACCGAAGACTGCAGTGGCAGAGTCCGCATGCGTACTCGGGTCCATTTTGGCACACCCCTCACACGTTTCGTGGCCCCATCGGGGCCTCCACCGAAGGCTCCTGTGGCAGAGTCTGCATGCTTACTCGCGTCCACGTCGGCGCGCCCCTTGCACCCCAAGGGGCTCTTGTGCATCAAGCGGTCCCGTCGATAGTTTCCGCGCGCGTAGAAGGGGGGTTGGATTCTTCGCCAGGGTCACTTCGTCAGTCCCGGCGATTTTCCCAGGCTTGGGCCTCCACGGGGCCCTTTCTTGGGCCTTGCCCATGGAGCGCTCCAACATGTGCCTTCGACGGAACAAGCTGTCCCTCCGGGGGAGGGCGCGGGACCCCTATAGGGGCCGCGTCGTCGCGACGACGGTAGGCCTCCCCGGCGCCGGTCGTTTTTGTTTTCGCGGGGGCCTCCGCCTCCTTTCAGGGGGACGTAAGACCTGGGTACAGGAGACTCGGAAATACCCGACGAGGTCGTCAAAAAAATGACGAGGCCGAGCCTGCATTTTGACGAGGCCTCCCGCTGCAGACATCCCACGAAACTCCTCGTCAAGATCCGAGGCGCAGTCGTCAAAAAACGACGGCGAACCCGAGTCCTGGCAAACCCGGGTCTTACGCTCCCCCGATCCTTCAGAGCACACGTCCGAGCGGCCCGAGGCAAGAGCGGCCTGCTGCCCGGCCTCCGGGGGCCCCGGGGGCGCCAGCCAGTGCCGGGGCGTGGCCGCGGGCCCGCGAGCGACCCCTGGGAGGCACGAGCCGCCCCGAACCCGGGGGTTCAGTCGGGCCTGTCCCCCTAGAGGTGGACTCTGAGCGAAAAATTAAAAATGCACCAGAAATGCCCCCCAAATGCTCAAACATAGTAAAGAAGTAGTCCCAAGACTATAGGCTGACTATCTTTGAATATATTCCCCCTGTAGAGGGACAGGCCCGACTGCAACCTGGGCCACAGGTGGAGCAGGGACCGACCGTCCCCGCATTCCCAGTCCTACCTCGAAAAGTTCTTAGAGTCCAAGAGTGTTCCAATTCGCCGGCCCAACGGGCCAGAGGCGTGCTAAGATCTCCGGTAACTGGTTAACAATTGTATTGTACTAGTTCGCGCGCGCGGGGCGGCCCCTGGGGGTCCCCCGGCGAAAAGTACCCCGCCCGCCGCCTGGCAAGGTCCCGCCCGGTTCAACTCAGAGATGGTTTTCCTTCTGGGTGCGGCCTCTCAGGCCGCCCTGAGCGCGCCAAGAGTGCCCCAAGAGGCCCCCAAGACTGCCCAAGAGGCCCCCGAGACGCCCAAAGAGCGCTCGAAGACGCCGAAGATGACCCCAAGACGGCCCAAAAGGCCCCCAAGACAGCCCAAGAGGCCTCCAAGACGCCCCAAGAGCCTTCCAAGAGGCCTCCGAAGAGAGCCCCAAGAGGCCAAAATCGTTGATTTTCATTGGTTTTTTCGATGTTTTTTGTGTTCTGGCTTTTTCGGCTTCCGGACGCTCCAAGACGGCCCAAGAGGCCCCCAAGACCGCTCCAAGACGGCCCACGAGGCTCCCAAGACGGCCCGAAACGGCCCAAGAGGGCCCCCAAGACGGCCCAAGTGCCGCCCAAGACGGACCAAGAGGCCCCAAGACGGGCCCAAGAGGGGCTCAAGAGGGGGAACCGAGAACTGAAAAATCGAGCCCTCCGCCCCAGAAGGCGCCCAGGAGGCCCCAAAAAGGCCCCAAGAGGCCCCCAAGACGCCCCAAGAGGCGCCCAAGAGGCCCAAAAGAGGCCCCAAGAGGCCCCAAAACGGCCCCCAAAACTCGGCTAGCCCACAACGGTGCGACAATATGGGCCGGCGGAATGAGCGAAGCGATTAAATAACAAAAACAATGTTCTTCGAGCATCAACCCGATGTGATAAAACAAGACAGTCCCAACCAGAAATGTTGTGAGAACCTTTCGTGGGAACCTCTCGTGGGAACCATGCGCCAGGGGCGGCGCCAGAGGCGCCGTCGGGGGGCCTCAGCGCCGATCCGAGGAATCCGCGCGGACCTCCGAGTTTTTATGGTTATGCCACTTTTTGTCCCCCTTATTGGCAATCGAATCCTTTTCGCAAGCGCACCTGAGACGGGAACCGAGCGGTGCAGGGCCGCTCGTAGACGCCCAGGGCTACTATAGTATCACCACACTCAGCGGCGAGGCGCCAGCTTGTAGGGGACGGAATGCTTTCTCCTCCCACGAGGCCCTCGGAAGGGCAGATGGGCGACCGAGCGAGAGGCTGCGTACGCTCACCGTGCTGCCGCAAAATGAAGAACGCTAAATAGTAAGGAACGAAAAGGTGTCCTGGCCACGGGCGAACTTCTCTTTGAAAGCCCGAAATGAGTACGGAAACTATGGGAACCATGCCCAACAACAAAAGCTGCCCCAAACCGACAGCGGCCGCTGCTGGGCAGGGGGCCTTCTGTCTCGAATGGACACAGGCCGCAGCGGCGTGGACAGCGGATCTGGTTCAAAATGAACAGAACTGCTGTTGGGCATCGTACCCATTCTTTCCGTGCCCATTCCGGGCGTCCAGATGCTCGGCCACCGAAAAGGTCCCCCGACACAGGCACGAGGCACGGCCCCCGACAGCGAGGGCCCCGCCTGCGCCCAGGAGCGGCCCTTCCTTCCACGTCGTGGCCGCCCGGGGGGCCGGGGGGCCCTGCTCCCCCCCTCGAGGGAGGCTTTGTGAAGGGGCCCCAGGACACACACACACACACACTATGAAGTGTAGCTATATGGAAATACTCAGATCTGCAGCCCAAGATCCAGGTACGTTCAACACTTGGAAGGACGACGGCCAGGCGTAAGCCACAGAGAACTCCCAATAACAATCGTGATTGATTTTTACCAGACGCTGCAACTCCGCGGACCCATCCGATGTGCAGCCCAATCTCGATTGGGCTTTGAGCGCTAGCCTAAACCCACGGAGCCAGACTCGTGCCAGAATGTGCGATGGCAGAGAGAAGCATGAGACAAGAGATATGGCCAATAATGGCCAAGGGATGCTAGATGGAAAACACACACAACCTCCACAAGATGGGTGGGCAAAAAGGATTATCAGAGGACTTCGTTCGCCTCGTCCCCCATCCTCGAAGGTGTGGTGTTGGTGCTGGCACAAATCACAAATAACGAACTATCCCCCGAAGGCCCGGGAGTCTACGCAACAATATGACTCTGAACGGCCGGAGAACTGGAATGCTTGCAGCAAAAGTCGCTAGAAACGCAGCCCCTCCTGAAGGGCTCCCCGAGAAGTCTCCACAATCCCCGAAAGAAGGAGGGTCGATACAAGACGGGTCACCGTCCTCAACGCTAGGCCCAAAATCCTCAGAGCTGGGAGCCTCAGGAGTGGGGGAGTCGAAGATGTCACGAAAGCCCTGGAACCATCGTGCACGTAGAACATTCACCAAGATACGACTGCCAAGCCAGTAGGGAACCTGATCCACAACTCGAGTAAGTGCGAGCCCGAGATGATCAACTGCTTCCAAGAAACGAACACGAAGTCCGTCGAGAAGCAAGCCTGACTGCCAGATCGCAATGACGAAAATCCCAAGAAGCAGTATGATGCACCCGTACCACATTACAATCATAATTGAATGCAGGTAGTTCACCACGCTCCCAAAAGACAAATCAATATCCGTCTTCGCGTGGTCCAAAGAGTGCTCAGTCCGCTTCTTATTAGCATGGTTACGAGAAGAGGGCTAGTTGAGGTACACAGCACGTTCGTCATCCGAGGAGGGCGATCAGGCGGCCGACGGGGCTGGCTGTAGAGCATCACCGGCGATCTCGCCGTCTGCCGTCAGCAAGCGAAAGAGGTAGGTCCCGATGCCGCCCTTATCCAGGTCCTGGACGGCCTCGTTCTCGGAACCAAGAGAAACCAACTTCTTCCTCCACTGATCCAAGCTCTTAAGCTTGGCGACCGACTCCCACAAAGTCACGTACGGAATACCATCCCTCGGGTAACCTTCCTTCATACCCTTGAACTGCGCGTTGCCCTGGACACCGAGGATCGGCGCGACCCCCGTGTGGGCCACGAAGGGAACCTGCTGCTGGAAGAACGGGTCGAGAGCCCCTTCCTCCGCTGGAGGACCTGCATGGTCTCCAACACGACCACCACCAGGGGCTTGGATACGATCAAACTTGTCCATGGGCCTCGACATCAGGTGCTGGGTCTGCTTACAGACGACCTGGTTCTCGGTGCTGACCGCCTTGATCTCGGAGATGGCTTTGGACTGGGCGTCCACGCGGCTGGTCAACGCATCAAGATCGGCACGCAAGCGCTTGACCTCGGGGACGTCGATGCCAGCAGAGCCAGACGCCCCCGAGCCAGGCAGCGCGAACTCCGCCAGGCGCTCCACCGTGCCCTCCAACCGGCTGTCGTTCGGCGCCGCCGCGGCCGCAGGACGAACCACGGCCGCCAGCGCCTGGGCCAGCTCCTTGGCAGGGCCTTGCTCAGCAGCGCTTTCGCGCGCCTGCTTGGCCTGCGCCTTCTGCGTCGCCAGGGAAGCCATCTCGCCGACGCTCTGGATGTCCTCCATGACATTGTTGAAGTTGGCCATCACGCCACCGAGGCCTCCACCGCCGCAATGGTCCTGACGATGACGCTGGGGCGGCTGCTGGAACGGCTTCTTGCCCATCGTACTGCCGAGACCTGGCGGTGAGCCTCTAGGCCGATGCTGCCGAAGAAGAGAGGCACACGATTCTAGCTGAGCCGCAATGGCGTCGGCCGAAGGGATGAGGCGCTTAGAAGTAATGACAACAAGGCGAAAACATTGGGCAATCAGATCTCGCAAGGGGCCTGGAGGAGCCAGGCACTTCCACACTGCTGAGACATACTTGACAGGATAACCAAGACGAAATAAGGTCAACATATCCACAGTGATTATGATAATCATTTTGGCGACCCTTGGCCTCCCCCCGCATCTCCTGAACCTGACGTGGTTTGAGTGCCCCAAGGAACGGTATGGTAGTCTGCTTGTCCATGAATACCAACTCGCCCGCGAAGGCGTACCGCTCGTTCCTGTGCCGCATTTCTATCTTGAGTCCGTCGAAGCTGGCATGCAGGTAGAGGTCGAGATAGTTATAAACAACACCAGTTCTGAAAACCTCAAACTTACTATGCAAAATCTGTCTCAAACATGTGCGGCAAAACCGATAGCTGAACATATGTGCGTCGTCAACATACCTCGAGGCCATAAAATCCCGAAGCCGTTGCCGCCACCTGTCATCGCGAGAGCGTTCGGCTCGGGACAGAACAATATGGAGCAGACATGGGGATAGCGGACCACCAATGGGAAACCCACATACCTGGTGCAGCGAAACATTGCCCAGAGCGAAGTACTTAAAACCCAAGAAGCCAGCCGGCGAGAGTTGGGGGGAGGAAAACAGAAAGACAGTGCGATCAACATAACGGTGATGCAACAGACCTCCAAGAATCACGGACGCCGTGCGCGAGTGCATGACCGAGATCGTCTTCATCTTGAAAGCGCGATGGGCCCGATCGAAGAGGTTCTGAACAGAGCTCCAAACCACAGGGTCACTCAACGTCTCATATGCCTGACCTGCATCTGCAACCACAACGCCTGGGTATGGCATCGGCGATCGACAGCTGGCACAACAAAACCTCCCAAGATAATCTTGAATGGAACCTCGAAGAAGGTCAGGATTTTGCAAGAGCTCCTCAGGGGCCTTGGAGAGATCCTTCAAGGACCAGCCAGGGGTAAGAAGGTCGACCAGACAGTTGACGGCCCTTGCAAGGCGGCGATAAAGTCGGCGAGACGGCATCTTCAGAAACGAACAAACATTTCGGACACAAGAATGCCCGGGCTTTTTGCACTTTTTTGATCCATCAGTGTTGAAGCACTTGAGTTTGATGGTGGGGTACACGTACGGGAGATTCGCACCAGAGACATCCCCAGGGTACCCCCTCATCGATTTTGGAATGGCCCAATCATAGCATAGCCTATACCAAGACAGAATACTCAATAACGGGGCCGCTGACAATCTCCACCGCTCAGAAGCTCCAGAGAGAATCCCAAGCCAACGAACCGCCATCGCCCCAACCTCGAACGCCCACATCGTATGGGGATCCTTATCCTCAAGCGTAATCCCAGTGGCTGGGGGGAGGGCAAACTCCGCACAAAGAGCTCTGAGCACCTCCTCTTGGGGCGGGTTAGGCGTCCTCGCAATAAGAGTCCGAGGAGAATGTCTTGGTCCAGATGATGCCGCTACCCTGCATGGAGACCCACTCCCTGCCGAAGAAGGCCGGCTGGGCGATGATGCTCCACAGGGCGCTGATGCTGCACACGCGGTTAACGGACGGCTGGACGATAATGCTGCACGCGCGGTTGGGGGACCTCTGGGCGATAATGCTGCACACGCGGTTGATGATCGTCTGGGCGAAGTATCTGCGCAAGGAGGGGCCGAACTTCGTGTCCCAGAAGCTGTTTTTACAAGCCTGGAGCGCGCACGGAGCAGAGGCAGAGCAAAAATATCAGGGACGCGCTGACGATGCAACCATCTGCTGCACTGCTGGCTCAAAGACTCGCGGGGCGATAAGACGTCGGAACCCTTCCACGGGAGACGACCATTACACGGGAGCCGAACCAGATCACGGCCTTCATGGATGTGCTGAAAATCTTCCAACTCGAGCGTAGACAGCTGATCAAACATAAACGATTTCATCTGGGTGGACACATTTACACAACGGCGTTGTATGGACACGACAGGGCGAATGTTGACATACACGGTAGCCGAAACAGCCTTAGCCCACGCCGGGCGTACCAAGGCTAGTTCCCCAGAAACCTGCCGAAACCAACCTCGAATAAGTTGTGTTTCACACTCATCATCTACTAGAACACATTCAGGGACAGGTGGACATAAATCGTTGAGCCGCATAAAATCAGCTAGGGCACCCCGAACGACAGAACGATGTGAATGATATGGTAAGGCAGCCGCTAGAAACCAGAGCGCGCACAAACTATCAAGCCCGAGCCGACGACGTGCCACCACATCCTGCCATATAATTTCACGGGGTTTCCAAGCCACCCACCGCACCAAGAGAAGTCCATTGGAGGGGGTACGAATATCCACAGGTCCACACGGCTGGCCCGACATGATCTGGCGTCGCATAAACTCATCATAGACACCAAGATAATGTTTTCGTAAAGTCTGAGTCCATTCCAGATGCCAAGCCCTAGTAGATTTTTTGTCCAGAAAGAACCTCTATAAAGAGTGCAGGCGGGTTTCCAACCAAAGACGAGAACGCTCAAATCGATCCTCACCCAGGCCAGAGTCGAGTCGTCGAGCACGGCGGCCACGGCGACGTCGGGGACATTTTCCCACCCTGCCACTACCAGTCCACGAGGGTTTGGGGGATAGGTTATTGGCCACTGGACGTGAAATAACAAAATACGAAGACTCCAAAGCCGTCACCTCCCTGACAGACGCGAGCGTGATAAACACGACGGGGAGGAATGGCATGCGATTCAAACCCAGCGAAGCCCCATAGCGTGCACTATCAGGAACAGAACCACGCTGAGTACGCAGGCGATAAAAGCACCGTGCATGCTCACGCCAGCGACTAACTGAACCTGTCACCAGAGAAGAACGCCTTTGAAGTAAGCCCTGACCGATGTAACATCCCTGAAGGTCCAACTGATAGATAAAGGCACGGCCCCGCACATCAGGAGGGGCAAGGATGCAACGTGCTTGCAGAGAAAACCAGGCACGCAACTCGGCACAACGGAGCAAAGATGCTGGACCCTTCCGCTTAAGAGCCCACGCCAAGTCCCCAGGAAGACAAAGTAGTGCTTTCTGGACGTGCTCTCGGACCCTCCGTCCACCAGTGAGACGCTCACGGAACCGTAGCATACTCAAAGACACCACCACGCTCAAATGAATCCGATGGGTAGTAAGATCCAGGGATACATCAGAACCAAAATCCAAACGAGACAGCTCCGACTCCAGGACCTCCAAGGCCAAAAACATATGATCGGATGGCGTAGAAACAACCAATTGAAACAGGGTCCCAATTAGAAGCTTTTGGACGGGGCATTCAGGGTCAATAACATCAGGAGGAATATCTAGAACCGTCGAACGCAATGGGGACATCCAGGAAGTAAGAACACGAACTTGCTCCAACACACGGGTGCCCCTGGAGATCGCAGACGGTGCCAGAAGGGAATGACGTGCACGGAGGAACGCCGAAACACAACATCCCCACAAGACTGTAGCGACGGCCCAGCCTCGGACATGGAAAACACGGAACAGAATCGCACCTCGAGGCCTGAGGGAAGAAGCCGTCGAAATAAGGAACTGGTAGCGCTTGCGGTACACCACTGAACCTGGGCAGTGGCTCCACTCCAGCACTGACACACTATGAAGTGTAGTTATATGGAAATACTCAAATCTGCAGCCCAAGATCCAGGTACGTTCAACACTTGGAAGGACGACGGCCAGGCGTAAGCCACAGAGAAATCCCAATAACAATCGTGATTGTTTGTTTTACCAGTCGCTGCAACTCCGCGGACCCATCCGATGTGCAGCCCAATCTCGATTGGGCTTTGAGCGCTAGCCTAAACCCACGGAGCCAGACTCGTGCCAGAATTTGCGATGGCAGAGAGAAGCATGAGACAAGAGATATGGCCAATAATGGCCAAGGGATGCTAGATGAAACACACACACACACACACACACGCACACACACACACTTGTTGATCGGCGGGGCGAGAGCGAATCTCTTCCGCTGAAGGCGAAGCGGGACGCGCACAGCCTTGATTCGCAGAGAACGGGCGAAAGAAGGCGGGGCCTCACGGCGGCACACACACGCACACACACACACACACACACGCACACGCACTCGCACACGCACACGCACACGCACACCCACACACCTAGACACCCACACACACACAAATAGACACAAACAACAGGATCCCCCACATTTTCCATATTTTCAGGGGCTTTGTCTTCCCCCCCACTTCCCACATTTTCCCATATTTCCCTTGGAATCGACGATTAATTGTATCTGTGTGTGCGTGTGTGTGTGTGTGTGTGTGTGTGTGTGTGTGTGTGTGTGTGTGTGTGTGTGTGTGTGTGTGTGTGTGTGTGTGTGTGTGTGTGTGTGTGTGTGTGTGTGTGTGTGTGTGTGTGTTTTCTCCCTCCTGACGTTGGTCGAACCAGCGAGCGGGCACGGCGGCGCATGCGGGCCGCTGGAGGCCTGGCGCAGCACGGAGGGCGGCGACACTCGAGGGGCAGGCTGGGGCGACCGAGATCGGCGGGCCCAGGAGCGCACGGGAGGAGGGCGTGGGCAGCACAGAGCCCGAACGTGCACGCGTCCGTGATCCCTCGTCTCTCCTCCTGGCCTCACTCCCCCTGCTGCCTCTCCCCTCGCCCCCCAGTCTACCATCTTCCCTCGCCCCACCCTCCCTCGAGGGAGGACGTTAGGGGGGCGGGGCCGGCTCAGGAGGGGGGAACAATCAAACCTCGCATTTCTGGGCGAGGTGGGCTATCGGGCCACCATCGGCGATCAATGGGCGATTGGGGGTCGACGCATCTCCCCCTGAGCCTTGTCCTCAGGACGCTGCCACTGAAATCCCTCCTCCTTCCTCCTGCCGCATCCCTTCCAAGTTCCAAGTGTAGCCTGAAGCCAATGGCTGCAAACGTCACCTGGCAAACTGCCACCACTCCGAGCTCGAGTCCCCGCCCTTCGGCCCCCTCCTCGAGGGGTAGAGAGCGGCTGCGGGAGTCCTACCATCAATCCTCCTGCCCGCATCCTGGTCCCTTCTCCGTCTACCTCATCCTCCCGCCCTCCGCCATCCCACTGCCACTTGCGGGCCTACGAGCATGTATGCTGCAGCGACGCGCGTGCCTCCTGCTCAGGCTGCTTTGCGCTGTCGTCCCTGTTGACTCCATCGGCGCCGGCTTCGTAGTCCTGCTCCGCCTCCTCGCAGAGGAGGCTAGATAGCAGCGAGGGCTGAAACTCTGGTACGATAGCAAGGAGGGGAGGCAGAACGTTAAGGGCGAGAACGAAGAACGATGAACAGGAGGATGAGGAGGATCGACCAAAGGACATTCAATTCTAATTTCAAAGCGGGGCGTCATACCGCACCCCAAGGACAGGAGTGGAGAGAGACGGGGGCAGCAGCAGACAACTACTTCAACGGCGAGTGTGAGGGCGACCCGAAGATAAGCAAGGAGAAACGTGAATTCGTTCACAAGCGTGGCCGTTGCAACCCACGGTATGTGAGCGACAAAAATAAGCGAGTCTTACGCGAGATGACATAGCGACCTTACGCGGTGGCTTACACGACCTGCCAGCGTGGCACGTTACGTTTGAAATGAAGGCGCCTACGCGCGACCTTGCGCGGGCAGCTGAGGCGCGAATGTCAGCGAAGTCGACCCCGTTGTCCTGCGACCCTCACGTGTTTCCTCGCCCTCCTACGGCTACAATGCCACTGCAACCAGCGGCCGTCAATAGCTGGAAGGTGCGCTTGCTTGTGCATGACCTCTGTCCAAATGGACATGGAGCGGAAACCTTCGGCATCGCGAATGGACGCAGCACGGATTGAAGGCCTAGAGGGCGGTGACGAGACTCCGTGCAGGGAACGCCATTGCGACAAGCACGAAAGGACGAAAACTCTGCCAATGTTATCGTCGTCATCGTCACGTGCTACACCAAGACGATGAGAAAAATTCGCCGGCCCAACGGGCCAAGGGCGTGCTAGTTCGCGCGCGCGGGGCCGCCCCCGGGGGGCCCCGGACGAAAGGTAACCCTGGCAAGGTCCCGTCAAGGTCCCAAAGCAGGTCCCAGCAAGGTCCAGAAATTAGTGATCTTCATTCAGTTTTGCAGTCTTTTGGCGTTCTCGCCATTTCGCCTTACTGGCGCTCCAAGACGGCCCGATAGGCTTCCAGGGTTGCCTTAACACGGCCCTAGAGGCCTCCAAGAGCGTCTAAAACTGCCCCAGAGCAAGACAGCCCCAGAGGCCTCCAAGATGACCGAAGAGGCTCCGAAAACGTCTCCAAGAGCGGGCCCAGACGAGGGATCCGAACAGACATTTCGAGCTCTAGGTGCAGAGAGGTCCCCTGGAGGCCCCAAGAGGCCCCCAAAGAGGCCCCCGAGAGGTCTCAAGAGACCCACAGGAGGCCCCCAAGAAGCCCCCGTGACGCCCCAAGAAGTCCCAAAAATACCGCCATGAGGCCCAAAACGAAGTTCCACGAGGCCGCCAAACGGCCTCCAAGGCTTGGAACTCGCAGGCAAACGCTTGCGATGGCACAAGTGGGCAGGCTGAGTGAGCAAAGCGATTCATAATCAGCTTCAACATGGATTGTCGAAGGTCCGCGCGGAGTTCTTGGATCGGCGCTGGACTCCCTTGCGCGCCTTTGGCGCCGCCGCTGGCGCACTCCGGGCCCCAGATCCACGGTATCCACTCTGACCTCCAAAAGAGAATGTTCATGTACTGCTTCTTCTGCGAGTCACGTAATACACCCAGACGTTCCTGTGGAACGCCTCAGCACGACTTCCAACCGAAAGTCGAAGGACGCGCCTCGCAGGATGGCCTCACCTGGCCTCTGTACCACCGCCTTCTGCATCGCTCTCGCAAGCCGTACTTCGAACTTCGCATCACCAGAGCGGCAAAGTCGCTCGCGTTAAGTCGGGCCTGCCCCACTTAAGGGCCGATTTGGGAAGACAAATGAAACAAATGCCCGGAACATGCCCTCAAATACCCAAACATTGTAAACACATCGTCCCCATACCATATTTTGAATATCCCTCCTGTAGAGGGACAGGCCCGGCTTAACTTCACCTGGCCTCTGCACCACCGCCTTCTGCACAGCTCTCGCAGACCGTACTTCGAACTTCGCATCACCAGAGCGGCAAAGGCGCTCCCGCTGGCTTCTCCGGCGCCCGGCCCCGGGCCGCTGCGACTCCGAGGCATCATGTGCGCTGGATCGGGCGACTTGGCCGCGGGGCCGAAACCGAACAACATCGGCCGCGCCGGGATGCACGTTGGGCGGGTGGTAACTTGGGGGCGACCTGAATGGGGGGGGATCCTCCTCCTCCTCCTCCTCCTCCTCTTCCTTTTCCTCCCTCCTCCTCCTCCTCCTCCTCCTCCTCCTCCTCCTCCTCCTCCGCATCCTCATGAAGAGAGGGCGCCGCAAAAAAAAAAAACCTTTGGGGCCTGTCGGGGGGAGGGGGAAAGGAGAGAGGGGGGGGGGAAACAGGAAAGAGGGGGGGGGGACAGGAAAAAGGGAGGGACAGGAGAGAGGGGGGGGGGACAGGGGGGGGGACAAGAGAAAAGGGGGGGACAGGAGAGAGGGGGGGGGGAAAGAGAGGGGGGGGACAGGAGAAAGGGGGGGAGAGGGCAGGAGAGAGGGGCGGAGAGAGGGGGGGGGGACAGGAAAGAGAGGGGGAGAGAGGCAGGGGGAGGGGGGAAAGGGAAAGAGGGGAGGGGGACAGGAGAGAGGGGGGGGGGGGAGTGGGGGGGGGGGGCAGGAGGGAGGGGGGATGACAGGAGAGGGGGAGGAAAGAAGAGAGGGGGGGGGACAGGAGAGAGGGGGGGGCAAGCTAGGTGCGCTCGCGTCATATCTGACATCCTACCCCTCCCTCCCATCCCTTACCATGGCGCAGATCCCCTCTCTACTCGCACAGTCGGATGTCAAGCAGGGCGATGACCCCGAAAGGGTACGCGGAGCATTGTAGAACACGGCGTGGCATGGCGTAGAAGAGCACCGCGAAGCGTAGTATCAACCTGGCATTGCATTGCATGCCGTGGCATGGCACGGGAGATGACGCCAGCGCTGCAGCGGGAGCACGAGTCGAAACGAGCGGAACAGCGGAAATGAAGCCAACGCTGCAGCGGGAACACGATTCGGAACGAGCGGAAGCACGGAAATGAGGCCAGCGCTGCAGCGAGAGCACGATTCGAAACGAGCGGGGCCCGAAAATGAGGCCCGTACCTAAGCGAGAGCAGCACTTTGAGAAAACATTGCAAGCGAAAATCTAAGGCTTCCCGGGCGCCAGAAGCAGAAATTCAGCATTTTCAAAAGAAAAATGTGTAATGGAATGGCCTTCTTTCGGCGCCGCCTCGGAACTCGATTTTCCGGCGCCGGCCGGAACCGGCTCCGGACCCGGCCCGGGCGCCAGCCCGGGCGCCGGCTCGGGCGTCCGGCCCGGGCGCTGGCGGAAATGATGCCAGCGCCGCAGCGGGAGCACGATTCGGAACGAGCGGGGCCCGAAAGGCCGGCGCCTCAGCGAGAGCAGCATTTTGGGAACAAATGCAAGCGAAAACCCAACTCCGGGGAAACCTGTGCGTAAAAAAACAATACGCGGGGGGGGGGCGAGTATTTCCCAATACGTCATCAGGGAAGAGGGAGAGTAGTATTCATATGAATAATTGTAGAGGGCAGGAGAGAGGGGAGGTGGGGGGGGGGGGCAAGAGAGAGGGGGGGGGGGAGGGAGAGCGGGGGGGGGGGGACAGGAGAGAGGGGTGGGGCGGGGGCAGGAGGGAGGGGGGGGAGGGGGAAAGGAAAGGGGGGGGGCAGGAGAGAGGGGGGAGAGGGGGGCAGGAGAGAGGGGGGGGGGACAAAAGAGAGGGGGGGGAGAGTGCGGGGGGGGGGGGGGACACGGAGAGAAGGGGGGGGGGGGGGGACAGGAGAGAGGGAGGAGGAAGGGGGAAAAAAGAGAGGGGGGGGCGGGGGGGACAGGAGAGAGAGAGAGAGAGGGGGGGGGACAGGAGAGAGGGGGGGGGACAAAAGAGAGGGGGGGGAGAGTGCGGGGGGGGGGGGGGGACACGAGAGAAGGGGGGGGGACAGGAGAGAGGGAGGGAGGGAGGGGGAAAGAAGAGAGGGGGGGCGGGGGGACAGGAGAGAGAGAGAGGGGGGGACAGGAGAGAGGAGACAACGTGAAGGGGGGGCCGGGATCATCACCATCTCCATCACCATCACCATCACCACATCACCACATCACCACATCACCATCATCAGCATCACCACCCTCCTATTCCTCGTCATCATCATCATCATCCTCATCATCATCATCATCATCATCATCATCATCATCATCATCACCATCATCATCAGCATCATCATGATCATCACCGCCGGCATCGGCTCCGCCGCCGCCGCGCGCACAGCTCGAGGCCCGCTGCGCGAGGCTTCGGCGCGCACAGGGAGGTACTGTTAAGTCGGGCCTTTCCCCCTACAGGGGGATTTTGGGCGAAAAATGAGAAATAGGCTAAACATGTTCCCAAACAGTCGAGCAAAAACTCAAGAAATTATCCCCCGACTATTTTTTAAAGTATTCTTGAATATTCCTCCTGTAGAGGGACAGACTACAAGAGGGTAGAGGGTGGGGTGATTTTCTAACACAACAGCTACTGGCGAACAACTGCTAACGCCAGCCTGCTGAGACGCACCTCAAGCAGACGCGCGGGGGCAACCCGAGGGCGGCGCCACTAACAGGGGGGTAGGGTGAGGGGGGAAGCGTCTTAGAAGGAGGCCGCTTCTTAGAAGGCGCTGGCCGTGCATCTGCAGACAAGGCCCGCACCTGCTAAGAAACGAGCGCCTTCTAAGAAGCCCGCCCTCTCCCCCGCGCCCTTGCGCGTGCCGCCAAAAAGTAAGATTCGCGAGTGAGCCCGTGGCCGCCCCCCCCCCTGCCCCGGGTCAGGTCGCGATTCGCGCAGGCGCCGTCTGGGAATAAGCCATTCTTGGGCATTCTTGGGCTTTCCCTGGCGCCGGCGCGAATTGTTCCTGCCCGCCCCCTGGTCACGCCCGTTATCGCCAGGTGATGAGGAACGGTCTCGAGGAGCAAGTGGGGCGGTTCTGGTAATGAGGGCGTCGGCACTGTTCGGGGAGGCCGACCAAGCGCAAGCCACCCCAAGCCTTCCGCTGAGCATCCGTCGGCCGGAAGCCACCCTGGCACTGGGCGGCAACTCCACCGGGCAGGCTCTGGCGGCCACGCACACCTGCACCCGCTCCCCCCTGCCCCCTGAGTCCTGATGGCTGGAAGGAACGGCGCTCGTGGCAGCCCCCCCAGGACCCCTGCCCCCCTCCCCCTCCTC